ACAGCAATATAACATAAAGTGCACATCTAGGGTAAGCTAGTACTCAACCTATAGTGGATTTAAGCCATGGTTGCATACTTCATTTATCTCAAGTTTGCTTTGAACACAGCAGTCAGGCTGATTCCAGGCGCTCCGGCTGTCGTCTCATTGCCGGAGTATTGCTTGCCGTGCCACTGCTATTGCCCATGCTCGTACACTATATTTGATTGTTGTTGGCTACTCGTTCGTCATCCCATTGGGGATTAATCTGAAGATACTTTTATCCTAGGATATTGTCTTATCCTCTTCCTTGCCCTTTTTTCGCAAGCGTTTTTGTTTTTCGCATTTCATTTTATCCTGGTTCTCGTTTTGACCAGCGTTTTCTGTTTTCCATGAGACGGGTTTTTTCGTTTATAATAAATATTATTTTGAGACAATAGCCTTGTCAGTGTCTGCTACTTCGGGATCCACTTATTCTCGTTCACACTGTTGCGTATGAAGCAGTTCTTTTCCCTGCCTTGTACACGACGTGACAATCTCATGCTTGCCGTAATAATCATTTTATTCGTTTATGGTTTTCTCTTCGACAAAATGGCTCAGTAGCCTCCCCTGGAAAATATGAGTCGGCCCCAAGCCAGTGTCACATTTTCAAAAACTTGGCAAAAAAAATTCTAAACTGTATTTAAGAGGTTTATTAGGCCATTTCCTCCAACTTGCCAGTATCTCAAAGTGGCTCAGGCAACAAAGGCCCCTCATTTCTTGCAGCTCTAGTACAGCGACCCCCCCGCCCCCAAACCCTTTCACACACACACACCCCTCCGAGTAAATACCTGAAGAAAAAAAAAATTATTTTTCATCCAAGCAAATATTCTTCAGCGGCTTTATTAGTCATCACTGATCACAGAGGTTGGCAGCACTGAGCAGTCATGTTAGAATCGACTCAACTGCTGTTCACATCACGGCGAGCAGACAGGAAGCGTCCGTCAGCTGGCGGCTTCCGATCTGGTCACGGCGGAGACGTCACATCAGCCTGACGTCCCTCAGCAACACGTCATGCCACATTCTTAGTGCTGTAATGCTTTGCAGGTCCGCATCCTTGTAGATGAACTCCAGCTGGTGGGTGCCATCGACGGTCACGTGGAAGCGGTCGATGTCACACTGGATGATCATCTGAATGACATGCCAGTACGGTGAGCTACGCAGCTTGCCAAGAATGCTTGAACCAGTCAATGACTTTTTCCTGTACATCTCAACACCCAAAAAATGGTGAGCTGCAGCTGGCTAAGAACTCATGAACCAGTCACTCAATTGGTTGTCTGTCCGCATCTGTGCACACTAAGAGCAAGGTTGTCGTGGTTATTGAAAATGGACAGCCTCTCAAAAACCAAAATTGAAGACCATCAGATCACCAGGAACCAGATATTGCGGTCATGGAGATTTCGTAGGACGATGCAGTGATTTCTGACCTCAAAATCGTGGCCGGGTTGGAAGGGGAAGGAGGCCACCTCTTTCTCCTCGACGCTTTTGGTACCATCCAGGTCAGAGCTCATCATAATCGTTTTCTCGTTGATGCGAAAGCCCAAGTGCAGCGCCGTGTCGTTGGCCATGGCCAGCTTGAAGATTAGCCTGCAATATTCATCCATTCACTGTCTTCAAGCCGTATAAACATGTTGTCTTGGTAACATCGTTCTTTGTCGGGCGTGTGGCCAGGTACCTCTCAGCCATCGGTTTGGCTCGTCCTCTGACGGCGAGGTTACTGCCCACGCTGAGCAGCCCCAAAAGGTCGACTCTGAATCCGAGCTGCGCAAACACAATTTTCAAGGGTAATCAAAGGAAATGCAAATGATCTGGAATCGTTAAGACGCTGAAACCCGAGTGCTTGTACTCAGTCTGAGCAAAAGGCCGTCATTCATGATATGGAACGCGCTCTTCAGAAGTCACGCCAGAAATCCCCCACTCACCGGATGAGGCGCCACAAGAAGTTTGCCCAAGCCTTTGATGTCATCAGGCACGCGCGTCAGAGAAGAGTTTTCACTCCAGTTACCTGGTCCGGATGTTGGCAGCTGGGGAGGAGGACAAGTAGGAAGACTGGGACAAGTGGTCATGGGAGGAAGAGGAGGACACGTCATAGGAGGAAGAGGGGGACACGTCGTCGGAGGGGCACAAGTCGCACAACGACACGTAGGACAACGACAAGGGGGACACGAAGGGCATGGACACTTGTCACAGGGACACACGGGACATGTAGGACAAAGGTAGCCCATGGCTACGGGAAAGGATTTTGGGTCAGTGCACACATTCGAAGACATGCATTGTACGTTGAGCGTTCATGACTCAAGGAACTTTTTTTTTTTTTTTTAAAAGATGAATGGCAGGTAAACGAGGTCATGTGGGCAAAGTCTGGACAATTCATTGTTTTTTTTAAAAATGTGATTTTCATGGTGGGACAGCAGTAAAATCAATTGAGGTTTCGTCTTGCTCAAGAAGCTTGATCACATTTTTTTAACAGTTTATCCTCAACTTTTGCCCTTCCATTTTTTTTAGCTCATAGATACATATATCCGTGAAGACAGAAGCATCCTTTCTCGAATGAAGACAATTCAATGGCAGTTGCCTTGATAATACAATCAACTTTGCAGTTTGTACCACCATTCCTGCATTTTGAATGGAACCAACAATTACTGTGTATATGAAATGCACACTTGCAGTATGATACAATCAAAGTGCCTGTTAATACAAAAATAAACTTGGAAACATACTCTTCGCAGGTATTAAGCATTTTTTTTTTCATCCACACTCACACATGACAGGAAACGCCAACAAGCTGATGAAACACGCCCACAGCAAAAGTGGTGACATGGTGACTGCTACCGCGGTCCTTCTGGTCAGGTGGAATTACTCTTCGATGTGATGAAGCCAGCAGGTTTGTCTGCAGAATTTAAGCGCAGCTCGCCACTTGTGTACACACGGACGCACCCCCAACATCAGAAGTTGAAAGGAACAGAGCTGAACTTTTAAGGTTGGTGATTGGCCATCGTAAAGTCGGGCACGGGCGGTGCTACATGGGGGTCGGCGGGGGCGCTAGCTTTACGAGGACACATTTCAAAGGTGTACACCGAAAACAAAGCGGTTGTTGTCATCATGAAATCGAAGACAAGACTCCAGTAAAACATAACGTACTGGCTTCTGTGCTGTACTTTAGCTGGCAACATCAAGGCAGGCATTGCGCAACAAAACATTTCAACTTTATTTTGGACTTACCCCTTGCGACGAGACATGCCATTTTCGAGGTGATCCAACAGACAAAGTTAACAGAACACATTGAACACGTCACTCCAACCCGTCCCCAACAAATCACGTACAGACTGACACAGTTCGGGGACGAACTGAATGGAGATTGGATCCCACAAACGCCGACACAAAGCCCGTACAAAAAATATTTCTGAACAAAAGCGCACACTTTCCCGAAGAGGCCAAGTACGTGACGCATTCATGACTCTCGGACCTTTTTGACAGATGAATGGCAGGGCTGTGCCGCAATCCATGTCGGTGAGATGTCTGTTCCCTCTCACCACAACGCATGCATGGTGCCATGGCTCGGGATCCCAGTCGAGGAAGTCCTGTACATTACAAGGGATGAATGTGATTTGAGCACGTGTCGGTTTCAGGACATGTTCCTCATAGCCATTGTGACACTAAACAACCACCTCGACAATTATCCAAAGTAACAAATGATTTTCGGGGAGCCTGGACCAGAAATGTCATGAATGACTTGCTCGTTCAGATTTTTACACTCTTTGACAAAAATAGATGATTTGACATGTACCCAATTCAAAGGGCTGCAGAGGATTACCGTCCATTTCTTGGGTACATTCTCCCCAAGTTGTTTCACTGTGTATATACTCACTTGTATTCTTTGGCATTTGACTCAGGATGACTTTGATTTGTTCTTGGTTTTACTGTTTGGTGCTTTCTACCGTCTGTATTACCGATTTGTTTTACTGTTTATTGTATATGTTAAATTGCTCCATGTACAGCACTTTGTATGCAGCGATGGCTGTTTGAAAGTGCTCTACAAATACAGTTGAGTTGAGTTGAGTCCCCCCGCCCCCCATTTGAGGCTTGGATTTCTCAAAATAAAATTTGAATTATTCTTATTCTTATCCTAATGCTATTTCATCATCGTAGCTATTTCCACGTTGAGAAGTACTGATGTTGAGTTGCAGATCACAAAGACGTGAACAATCAGTGACCTCATTTTTCTTTGATTGATGGCCAGTCTTATTATAGCGTGACTGAAAATAAGGTTCGGTCGGCAGGCATGTATTTACGATGAACACGTTTGCATGCAAGAGTCCTGCACACTTTTCTAAGTGAGGCATTGTGTCATGTGGCAAGACATGTCACGTCAACACATGACTCGTGTTTTATGGACGACGCGTTTCTAGCGTGAAACGACATAAGCTTTGCTCTGAGCGCTTCGATGAAGACACCCTCAATTCCTTCATACCTTGGCAATCAATGGAATATTTTCAGAGGTGGATGTGACAAAAAGTAAAGACGTCAACATGAATTTAGGTGACCATCGAACGCACGTTTTGCACAGAAGCGACGTTTCAATGGTGCGACACCGGAGGGCCATTTTAGCTTCGTGTCGGCAACGAAAGAGCCATTTGAACCGTTTTATACAAGATTCCAAGGTAGCCAA